TAACAGAGGGAATGGCCTGAAAAAAAAGAAGGCAGCAGAAAGATTTTCTGTCTCTTTAAAACTCCCCCCATGCTTATGAGACCTGCAGCCTGGCCTGCATCCCTGAGGCAGGTTAAGTCTTTTGTTAAAACTCCCAGGTGGCCCCCAGTCCCCCAGGTGGGTGGCTGGCAGAGTTCACAGGCTTTGTTTTTGGCAGAGATGGCACCATTAGAATAGTTAAGCACAGTAATTGCCTGAAGCTGAGAACCCTCTCTTTAAAAGCTCTGCATTTCTGCCTAGGCCTACATTCAGGAAATTTGGGATTTTGAGATGAGAAGGTCTGCCATATTTCCTCCTTTGCCAGCAAAGTAAACTCTCTTTCCTAGTGGTCCCACTCAAAGCAGGCGGGCAGGCCGTGAGGGGTTTTACAGCTAGGTTGAAGTAGCTGACCCAAATGTGTATGTTGACTCCCAAATCCAAAAGGCCTAACAAGCGTTCTGCACATTTCGTGGTAGGTGGCACAAGGGAAGTGACTTGTCTTTCACCTTGGAGAGGACATCTCAACACTCTCCACGTCACTGACCCACCAGAAACTTCACTGGGGTGGCTGTCCCTCAGTTGTTTGGGGGTTTCTTTCACTTTGCATATGTCTTTCTAAGGTTTTCTAAACTACATGCTACTTCCTGCTTCCGAGATCCAATAAGTAATGGTCCTATCAGCACAGTGGACTATTGTGATGCTTTATGGAATGTCAAAACAAGTGAGATCTCTGGAAACTATATTATGGCAGGAAGCAGAATTGGCGCAGCCCAGAGGCAAGACTGTAAAGGTGTACTGTTGGCCCTGCAGGCACAGGCAGCCGGTTTCTGGTATTCCCTACAAATTGGTAGGAAGATAAGGGCATCTGCCAGGTCAGTGGCTGCTGACCAAGTGCTGGGGGCTGTGTTTACTTGCTCTGATAATGATACTACAACCCGAGAGCAGCTGCAACTGGAGTCACTCACTGCATGAGTAATTTTGGGATCATCCACAATCATTTTCCAAGATCCATCTGACTTCTGCACATTTCAAACTGGTGAATTAAATCAGGGTGCGGTAGGTGCTTCTTTCAAGCCTTTTATGGAGTCGTGAATCTCTGCGGTTCCTCGTGGGATGCGGCACTGCTCCTGCTTCACCGTCTTGGTAGAAAGGGGAAGGCCCAGGGCCTTCCACGTAGCCCTTCCGACCACAGCGACTGTCCTGTCTTTGGTCAAAGAGCCAGCGTGGGATGGGATTCTGCCCGTTTCCGAGCATGAGTATTTCAGTTATGCATTCAGGCATGAGGGATATAAGAAACATGTTCCTGTGGACCAGTTGGGCCCAAGGTGAGTTGGACTTGAGGCAAGATTTCATCTGTCACCTGGCCACAGTAAGCACCCGCTTTGACAGGGGGAGCTATGGCAGCATGGTTGGTCCTCAGGATTAGTGTCAGTACAGAACCAATATCTGGTGATTTCTGTGTCCACAATTTCTTATACGTGTCTCTGGATATAAGTTTTAGCTAGATCCTTGGAAGCAGAAAATGTCTTACACAGATCTGATTGTGCTTAGAGACCGATAAAGACTTTCAAGAGAAAAAAGGGAGAATGTCAGTGTGGTTTCTTTCACCTGATTGGACCCTAACTAATACCAGATCACAGAGTTTATGTCAGAAAAGGAGGCTGGGCAGGGACTAGAGGAAGGTCCAGATTAGTCCCCCTTGGGGAGACCAGAGGGGAGTGATGTGGGTGGGAGAAGGGAGAGCTAGAGCCGGGGAAGGATGAGAGAACCCTCCTGGGAGAGTTACCACCTGTCACTAGTACCAGGTCAAGCCAACGGCTGCAGACCATCTTGCGTTTCTCAGGCTGAGGAGTTGGGTAGACTGTTCGCAGCACCTCTGGTGAGGCCTTCTGTGGAGGACAGACTCCGAGGTAGCCCCATGACCTCCACCTCCTGGTGTGCACACCCTTGTGTGATCCCCTTGTGTGAACAAGGCCTGTGACTTGCTTCCAGCCAATAGCATGTGGCAGAGGTGATGGCGTGCGTGTGATAAAGTGCTTGGGATCACGTGACATTAGATTCTAGTGGCCCCTTGCTGGAGTCTGTCTCTCCCCCACTGGCTTCAAGGAAGCAAGCAAACATTCAGGGAACTTCACGTGTCAAGACACTATGGGTGGCCTCTAGAAGCCGAGGCTGGACTCTGACCAATAGCTTGTAAGAAACTGAAGTCTTCAGTCTATAACCACAAGGGACTGAATTATGCCAACAACCTGACTGAGCTTGGGAGTAGAGCTTTCCCCAGTTGAGCCTCAGATGAGGCCACAGCCCCAACACCTTGATCATAGCCCCAAGGACCATAAGCTGAGGACCCAGATAAGCTGTGCCCAGACTCCTGACCCACAGAAACCATGACACAATAAATGTATGGTTTTAAGCCACTATGTTTGTGGTAACGTTGCTACACGTCAACATATAATTAACATACCCTTCCATCAAAGCTGCTTACTTATAATCCATGGGTCACAATGTCTGCTCATGCCCTCAGGAGCTCAATCCACATTGCCCATGTAGAAAGTTGCCCTCTTTGCAAGGCCCTAAGACATCCACAGGACCCCTTCCTCCATCAATCCTAGGTGGGGTCGTTGGCAGCCAGAGAGGCTATGGTTGCCTAGAAGGAAAAGCCTCCAGATTCTGCCCTTGGGTGGGACTAGTCAGCACAGAGGCCCAGAGCCCATCACAGGTGTATCTAGCAAACATGGCCCAGTGCAAAACTAACGTGGACCATCCCCAACATGCTACACAAAAATCTCCTTCCCTTTCCCCGTGAGCAGAGCCAGTGGCATTGGCTAAGCAAGGGCAAGGTTCTTTGTAAAAGTGCAAACAATATAGAAGCTCATCAAAGGAAGGAGGCTGGCCCCTTACCTGCTCAGGGAAAATCCCAGATACTATCTGGAGGTTCCCAAGACATCCCTCACTTGGAAAACCTGCCTCTTGGAAGCCAGTGATCTACTTTTGGAATTCAATTAAAGACTTGAGCCTGGGCGAAGCTCATGGCTCCCCAGAACCCACCCTTTTCTTCCATTCCTTTCTCCTTGTCCCTTCCCCTGTCTCTCTTTCCCACAATCTCCCCTGAGATCTTCCTTTAGTCCAGCCCAGGGTAGCTGTGTTGAGGGTGGAGCTTCATTGCAACAGCATTTTACAGGCCAGCTGGAGCCAATCAAAGTTGGGCTTTGACTAGTGACCTTTGACCCCAGGAACAATTAGGTGCCTCCCCCTCCAGCAGGGACCACGGCCCCCAGCACTGCTTTGTCATCGTGGGTGTAGACTCACCATTGACAGTGTGACCAGTTGTTGGCATTTATTCTGTACAGACCTTATATGTTAGGGCTTTAAGAAGATTTTAAAGGCATTTTTTTCTCCCTTTGATTTCTTTTTCTTTTTTTTTTCAAAACAGGGTCCCGCTCTGTCTCCCTTGCTAGAGTGCAGTGTTGTGATCATAGCTCGCTGCAGCCTCAAACTCCCAGGCTCAAGTGATCCTCCTGCCTCAGCCTCCCGAGTAGCTGGGACTATAGGCGTGCACCACGACACCCAGCTAATTTTTCTATTTTTAGTAGAGACGGGGTCTCGCTCTTGCTCAGGCTGGTCTCCAACTCCTGACCTCAAGTGATCCTCCCCGCCTTGACCTCCTGGAGTGCTAGGATTCTAGGAATGAGCCACCGCATCCAGACTCCCTTTGATATTTATTTCACTCCAGTTAGAGAATGTTGCTAGATCCATAATTGGACATTGTTAGTACTGGAAGAAAACAGACATACTTTGGATTTTCTTGAATATTAAGCAAAATTGTTCTTAGCTTACTGCTCATCCTCTGCAGCCAAGCCAAGCATTGATTTAGCATTTCTTTAATCAGTAAAATAGAATTCACCAAAGCACCCAGCTGGTGGCAGAATCCATACTTGCCACACCCCACTCAGGGCTACTATCATATGCCCCCTTTTTTTTTGAGCAAGTAAAATATTTATTTTTTTTAATTTTTTTTATTTCAGCATATTACGGGGGTACAAATGTTTAGGTTATGTATATTGCCTTTGCCCCACCCGAGTCAGAGCTTCAAGCCTATCCATCCCCCAGATGTGCGCACCACACCCATTACTTGTGTATATACCCATCCCCTCTTCTCCCCTCCCCTCCTATCTGCCCGACACCCAGTGAATGTTATTACTATGTGTGCACTTAAGTGTTGATCAGTTAGCACCAATTCGATGGTGAGTACATGTGGTGCTTGTTTTTCCATTCTTCGGATACTTCACTTAGTAGAATGGGTTCCAGCTGTATCCAGGATAGTACAAGAGGTGCTAGTTCACCATTGTTTTTGGTGGCTGAGCAGAACTCCCTGGTATACATATCCCACATTTCCTTAATCCACTCATGTATTGATGGGCACTGGGTTGTTTTCACATCTTTGCAATTGTGAATCGTGCTGCTATAAACATTCAAGTGCAGATGTCTTTTTTATAGAGTGTCTTTTGTTCTTTGGGTAGATGCCCAGTAATGGGATTGCTGAATCAAATGGTAATTCTACTTGTATCTCTTTAAGGTATCTCCATATTACCTTCCACAGAGTTTGTACTAGTTTGCAGTCCCACCAGCAGTGTATGAGTGTTCCTGTCTCTCCGCATCCGCGCCAATATTTATTGTTTTGGGACTTTTTGATAAAGGCCATTCTCACTGGGGATAACTGATATCTCACTGTGGTTTTGATTTGCATTTCTCTGATGATTAGAAATGTTGAGCATTTTTACATATGCTTGTTAGCCATTATTCTGTCTTCTTTTGAAAAGTTTCTGTTCAGGACCTTTGCCCACTTTTTGATAGGGTTGTTTGATTTTTTTCTTGCTGATTTTCCTGAGTTCTAAATAGATTCTAATTATCAGCCCTTTATCGGATATGTAACGTGAATATTTTCTCCCATTCTGTAGGTTGTCTGTTTGCTCTCATGACTGTCATATGCCCTTTATATAACTGACTACAGCATTCACAATTTTCTGGGAGCATGGGAAAGAGAAAGGCTTCTTATCAAATAAGATAAAGGATCCATGGAAGCCATCCTCCACATGGTACCATGTCACACAGACCCCCTGGTCCTCCAAGCGCTTCTTATAGAGCAAGGTGTCATCCCGGAGGATGTCGTTCTCGCAGCTCACCAGGAAGGCCTCGGGAAGCTGAGCGATGGTCTCGTCATCTGTGACGAGGGGTGAGTTTTCTACATCCAATATACATTTGGCTTCTAGATAGGCAGCCTCATTGAAAGGGCCAGGGAACCTGGGCTGGTGGCCTCTGCCCTTGAATCTCTCGGGGATGTTGTCAGAGCTGAGCCACTTCCTGTATTTCTTCCAGACATCCGGGGGTATAAACGCCCCACTCAGGATGGCATCCCGCCAGGAGAGGTCGATGGACAGATACCTACACATATTAGTCACCATGAACGTCCGGGTGAGGAACGGGATGTACTTGTTCTGCTGAAAGGACGGCAACTGCAAATTGATGAGCTGGACAACCGGATAAATCAGGACCTGAGCCCGGATGCTGGGAAGATCTGATCTGCCCACCAAGGCCTGGGTGATGAAGGCCCCGATCCCTCCTCCGATGCTTTCTCCGCAGACCACGACCCGGCAGGGGTCCACCCCGTAGGTCTCCAGGCCCCTCAGAAAGTGGATGGAGGCGCTGAGGCAGTCTTGGGACATGGCAGGGGCGAGGTGGTCAGGGAGCTTGCGGTACCTGGGGAGTAAACGGGGCACGAGCCCGTGGTGTGGACAGGTGTGCTGGGTGCCGTTCCAGCAGCATCCTCACCACACTTCCTATACTGTCTCTGATTAAATCCTCAGAATAACCGAAGTAAGGATTTTTATGCCCCCTTTTTTTCTACGAAGATGTGAAGAACGCGCCCAGAGTCGTACCGGCCAGGAGTCTGGACACCAAACCTACCCTCTGTCTGCTTCCCACAGACGCATAAGCTCTGTAGAAGACTATGCAACTTTAAAGCCATTGGCTTTGGAAGCAAAACAACCAGCAAGGACAGAAAAACAGGCAAATGAAGCTACTACTGGTCCCACTGCCTATCAGTAGAGAAAGGGACAGGAGAAACTAAAATAAATAATAAAGTCAAAGGGAAATTTCTTTCAGGAAGAATTTTTTTTAAAAAATCAAAAATCTAATGACCAAGGCTTGTTCTTCCCCAGTGACTCAAAGAGTGGCCTTCTCTTCCAGGGCCAGGGGAGGCAGGAAGGGGCTGGGAGGTGTTCTGAGGGTAAAGGTGTAGAAAAATGAGCCAGGCGGGAAACAGACAGAGCTAGAGCTGAGGAAAACCCAGGGACCAGCGGCTGGTGAAAAACATCCAGAGGTTTGGTCCCCGTAGCGTGTCTCCTCCAAGGAATTCAAGAGCAAGGAAAAGGAACTCTAAAATGAACCTCTAAAAACAGTAAAGCACAAGCTACCTAATGCATGAATCGAGTTTGGGGTAATAGAAAGGAATGAATTTAAAAAATAGAAACAGTTTGGCTAAACTGCATGGATTAGAGAGTCTATGTAAACAATTTTTTGTCTTAAATTTTTAGTTAAGGGTTGTTGCTAATCATCTTTTCTGTTATTACGATCGATCGTTCAAAACATCAAAAAGGTATATTCTAATGGTAAGATTAAATTTAGAAGAAGCGCAAGGAAAAATGATACCTTGGACTAAGGCTTTCAAACTTTGTGAGAGCAACAAAATTATTTTTTTCAATTAAAATGATATAAGGAGCCCCCCTGTATAAAATAAACAAGCGCAGCTGTTCTGGTTTTGCTCAAGGCTAAGGGCCCTAAGCCCTCACTCTTTCTTCTTCCTCCTTTGTCTTCACAGCTGCCTCTAAGGCATCACGGGGAAACCTAGGGTTCCAGGGAACCGGTTTGAAAACCATTGCCTTGTATTAGACCTTGAATTTTCTTTTCCTTTAAAAGCCACGCCTTTAAAAATAAGGTTTGACTGCTGCGGCCTAGCCCTGCAACATTTCCTGGATGAGCAATACACTGATAAAACAATCGATGCTGTCAACACGGGTTCCACGGAAACTCAGACAAAACACACGCTTAGGAGGGTCTCTGCAGGGAGGGGAAGTTTCTTTCAGCACCTGGTAGCAGCAAGCACACACTTCAGCTTCCGTTTTCCCCCCATTTCTAGAAGTGAATACTGCTCACTAAATGTTGGATATATGAACCCAACAGGATGAAAGAAATAACACACGATGTGCTTGCTACTGGCAAAATCCCCGACCTGCCAGAAAGCGGCAGAAACGCCCCCAGGCCTTCGTGCACTCCTCTCTTGCCCGCTGCAATGGACTGAAATCCTGTACCGCAGTGTGAGGGTGTCAGGAGGTGGAGCCTTCGGGAGGCGATTGGGTCGTGAGGGTGGGGCCTCGTGAACAGGATTAGTGCCCTTGGGGACTCCAGAGAGCCCTCTGGCTCCTCCTTGCGCCACACTCCCATACGAGGAGGAGTTGGCGCTCTGCATCTCGGAAGAGGGTCTTCACCAGAACCCGACCATGCTGACACCCTGATCCTGGACTTCCAGCCTCCAGAACTACAAGAAATAAATGTCCCCACCTGGGGCGATTTGGTAGAGCAGCCCTAACAAGACACCCACTCAGAAGGGAAGGCTTTGCAGAAGCCACAGGTCGAAAGACCCATCTTCTCTGAGGACCTGGGTAGGGAGGCCCATTTATGTCCCGATGAGAAATCAGGGAACACCCGGGCCTTAGACATCACCCCTTTTTTCAGTGTCTCTCAGGAGTCCCCTCCCAGGCACTGTCCTGCTGCAGCCCCCTGGCGGCCGGAAGCCCCTTATACGTGTGTGTGGCGCTGAATCCTGTTTCCGTCATTCCTTTTCTTTCCTTTTTACATTGTTTTGTTGTGTCTATGTGTATTCCTAAAAAGTAGTCTTTTCATTCAAATTGTTTTTAACTTTACAAAAAGAGGTTTTATGTGATCTTTTGAAATGTTTTCACTTAATTTTATACTATATACTAAGATTCATTAGCAGTATCGTGCACCTTTTCAGTTCAGTTATTTGAATGGCTACATAACATTCTATAAAATCTTCATGGCTACGTGATCTATCTACCACTGTCTATTCACGCACTTCACTGTTGATGGGTTTTTGCGATCTTGAACAGTGCTGCAGCTGTCTCCGTGGCTGCGTGCACAAGAGTGCCTCTTGGGGGTTAGGGCCCCTCTCTCTGGTCTATAAATCATCCATGAACTCACTCTGCCTTCTCCCATCCATGGAAAACCCCCCAGCTGTCTCCAGCAACTCACCCAACCAACAGCAGCACGGAGTCAGTCTCCTGGGCCAGGAAACTGCACAGGTTGTGGTAACAATCTGCAAGACAACCAGTGACAGCGACAGCCCATGAGTAGGGCCCGGGGCTTCCCACCACAGCCGCCAGGAAGAGCCAGCTGACAACGCTGGCCTGGGATGGGACTGCCTCTCTTTGTTCCTGTTCTTGCCTGCTCCGAAGCGACTCTGGCCGGCCAGGTCAGACATCTCCTGAGTGTCAGGGCTTGAACGCATCTGGGGGCCCATCCTCTGCAACATCTCTCTTACAGTGGGGGAAACTGAGGACCAGGAAGTCTTGGTGATTTGAAATGGACAAAGCCAAGACTGGGGAAGTTAGACATGCCTGCCTGGCAATATTAATAATAATTTTATATATTTATATTAATTAAGACATAACGGTTGGATGGGATGTTTCTACTAGCAGAGTGGTACACATGAAGTTCTCAGAAGGCAGGTCCATGCACGTGAGTGCCAGGCACAGAATCGGTGCCAAATACACTTCTGTCTAACTCGATAGTTCTCAATTTCGGCCACACAATTTTTAGTAAACAGGCTTCTACTTTGCACTTGCACAATTCACTCAGCCCTGTTGGATCCTGCCTTTATATAAATGCTGATATCTTGTTCGTCGCAGAGGGACTAGAGCTTTCACAGGTCCTCAGGCCCAAGCTGAACCCCGAACCGACTGGATCAGAATCTCTGCGGTGGGGGCTCTGGCAGCAGGATTTTCTAAATCATACCGGGTAATCCGGTGTTCAGGGGAGGTTGCCGAGGTGGGTACATGCTTCATCAATGCTGTTTAAGGGAGGTGACAGAGTTCGGAGATGGAGCCAGAAGCACGGAGGGGCTAAACTGAGTCAGCACAGGCAGCTCCTGAGTCCAAGGGGCTGTACCAGTGGCTCTCAGCTCTGGCGGCACAGTGAAGGCATCTGGGGAGCTTTTCAAACACACTGATGCCCATGTGCATTTCCACTGCAGGTGTGCGTGGAAGAAAAAAATACTGACGCCTGGGCCCTATTACGCCCAGAGACTAACTTAGCCAGCTGGGGTAGGACCTGGGAGCCAGTGTGACGTTAATGCTCCCAGGTGATTTTAAAGGCCAGGCAAGGTGGAGACTGCCGCCAGCCATGATCTCGGCCCTGCCCACCTGTCCACCTTCGTCTCCCGCTCTCTCACCCAGACATTCCTTCCTCCCTCATGCACAGCAGGTCGTGTCAGTTTCAGAGCCTTGCACTTGCCATCCCTTCTGCTTAGACTTAATAGAGCTGGGACTAGGGCTACGCAAGTGAGGCAGCCACCTTGGGTGCAAAATCGAGGGGCCACCCGACACTCAGCCATCCAGATAAAAACATTCTGATGCAATATTTTAAGAAATGGCGGCAGGGCACGGTGGTTCATGCCTGTAATCCCAATGCTTTGGGAGACTGAGGAGGGAGGATTGCTTGAGGCTAGAAATTATCCTACTTGCTTGTTTCCTCCTTCAGTGTCCAGCTCCCTCCCCTGACTGTCAGCTCCAGGAGGCCAGGGGCTGGGGCTCGCTTGTTCCCACTGTGTCCCTTGTGCCTGGAAAATGTCTGGCACGAAGTAGGTGCTCAGTAAACACTTGCTGAATGATCCCTGGTTCTACCTTTGGAAATGACACTAACCCTCAACAGAGGAAGGCTGACAGTCCCAGAAAACTCAAGGGGGACCCCCGGGGCTTCTGAAAGGAAAGAGTGCTCTCAGGCAAGGTGGGGCCAGAGGATGGGAGATACCATAGTTAACTTCTGGAAGAGGGAGAGCAGGGAGACAGCCTTCAGATACAGCATGGTCTTTGTCACATCCACCACCAGGTGGCAGCACACCCCAATCTCAGGGAAGTGATAGCAGAGAAGTGGCGTTTTTACACGGGCACATTTCCTCATGTGTGTCTGTGCGTCCATCCACCCACCCACCTGCTCATTCACCAACCCATCCTTTCATCCAATTATTCCCCACCCACCCATGTATTTATTCTTGCATGCATTCATTCATTCATTCATTCAAAAAACAAAAACAGGGTTGGGCACGTGGCTCACGCCTCGCTATCAAGCCAGGAGTTCCAGACCAGCCTGGGCAGCATAGTGAGACCCTTTCTCTACCAAAAAAAAAAAATTTTTTTTTAATAATTTACAAAATAAACACAATAGGCCCTGTGCGGTGGTTCACGCCTATAATCCCAGCACTCTGGGAGGCCGAGGTGAGAGGATCTCTTGAGCTCAGGAGTGTGAGGTTGCAGTGAGCTGTGATGACGCCACTGCACTCCAGCCAGGGCAACAGAGTGAGACACTGTCTCAAAAAAATAAAATAAAATAAATGGTAAAAAAAATAAAAACAGTCGTCCAGGCACTGAGGATCTAGCAACAAACAAAACAGAAGTCACTTCCCTGCAATCTCGAGTTCCCATTTCCAGCAGGGCAGACAAGCGGCAAGGGAGGAGACACAGGAAGGAATGGGATGAGTTCAGATTGTGACAAATGTCTCCAAGAACATGACCAAGGACAATGCCAGGGATGGGGACGGGACACAGGGTGGGGCAGCAGGGTGGCGGGGACAGTCCTTAGATAAGGTGTCCAGGGAGGCCACTCTGGAGAAGGACATTTGAGACTAGGACTGGAAGAAGGAGGGTGGTCAGCTGTGCAGTCAGGCGTGGGGGAGCTTTCGAGGCCCAGCAAAAGGCAAGCGCAGCAGACCCGCGATGGGAAAGCCAGCGTGTCCGCGCCAGAGCGAAGGGGGAGGGAGACAGGTAACACATAGCAGGTGACAGGGCAAGACAGCAGGGCCGGCTCTGTCAGTGCCTCCCAGGCTGGGGAGGAGGGAGTTCGGGTTTATCAAAGGGCGCGGAGAGGTGTAAGTGCAGGACTGACAAGCTCCAGCTTGTATTCTTAAGAGACCCCTTTGGCTGCTGGGTGGGGCCACTTTGGCTGCTTGGGCTGAGGGGCGAGAGGTGAGTCCCGGAGACCCAATGCTGGGGTGCAGGGGGCCGGCAAGCGAAGACCAGGTCTCGGGCCATGGGGTGCAGCAGAGCTGGGGGGAGTACATGGGTTTGGGGTCACTGAAGCATGGACAGGACGGCACAGGCTGTGAGCAGAAAGGGAGGGAAGAGGGGAGTCAACACTCGGCCCCCCAACAAGCAGCCCCGCTGGAACACCACTGCCCCCACCTTGACCAAGATGGCCACAGGATGGAAAAGAAAAGACTCCCCACCTGGGCTGCCACGCCACGTCCTGACTTGTGCTCACTGCCCTGTGTCTGGGCTCCCTATAAAAACCCCAACTGTTGACTCCTTTGAGTTCTTCCAGAAAGTTTCCGGGGCAGGCGTGAGCAACGTGCACAGGGATGAGCCCTTCCTTTACGAAGCCAGGAACCGCAGGGGAGCCCCTTACCCAGGCTCCCGAATATCCCGCCCCCTCCGTGGTAGAAGATGATGCCCCGCCGGGGGCTGGAGGACGCTGCCTTGGGCTGGAACAGCCTCACGGGTATGGTCCCAAAACGCAGGTTGGTCACGACGAGCTTAAGGTCCTTCTTTCGTCCCATTCTGTCATGCAAAAAACAGACAAACTTGGCCATGGAGCAAATTCCCAGCTTCTCAAATATAATCCCCTGTGGGAAGTAAGAGAAGGGAAACCAGACGTCAGAAGAGATGAGGACCCGGATGGCAGATGTTCCCGACACTCGTCACTGCTGGGAGGCTCTTGCCTGCCTCCTGTATGCACAGGGGGCCCGTCTGGAAGCAACGGGCTCCGGGATGTGTCCGGGTAGGGGGTTGGGTTTTTGGACTCTTCCTCCCTAAGCTCTTGGTTGGATAATGGTGTGACTTTGACAAAGAGTAGCCCAGCGCTGGGGGCTGAGTGGGAGGAAGGCATTGACTTGAGCAAAGCCCATTTTCCAGGGCAGCTGGCTGGCGAGCCCGCTCTCGCTGGCTCCGTGCTGGGCTCTCCGGCCCGAGGTGGCAGAGACAGGCCAGCACCTGTGTCAACACACCATCGCTCTGGGTCAGGAAGGTTCCAGAAAGCAGCGATGTGATCAATGAGGGACGTCTGCCGTGGGCTCGGGCGGCGGGAGTAGCAGCTCCAGGACCACGGATTTGCCACGTGTGTTTTTACACGGATGTGCTCACCCTAATCACATGCAAGCAAACATCTGAACATCTCACAAAGACAGTTACGCAAAGTCGTATTTCAGGTACCGAGTACATTTAGGCCATTTGGGACCGTGTCTCCCACAGACCTCACATTAGGAGTGTGTCTTTGTCATAGGGAAAACAGGCTGGGACAATGCTATTAAAAATAAGAACAGCTGATACTTATTAACACCTACGATGTTCCGGTACCGGCCCAAGTGGTCTGGATTATTAACGTGCTTAAACTTCTCAACAGCCCTTCTAAGTCAAGCGCAATTATCAGCTGCATCTTACAGAGGGGAACGGAGCATGCCAGGGTCAAGTTCCTTGTTCAAGGAGTAAGACGCAGAGCTTGTGTTCCGAACCACTAAACTAGAAAGAGCTTGGGTTTTGGAGTCAAGCAGTTCTGAGCTCAAGCGTGAGCCCTGCCATCACCTAACTAAAAAGCCGTGGGCATTACGGTCTCTGAGCTTCAATTTCACCTGTTTATGAAATGAGAAGAATGATGTGGATGGTCTGAGGACGAGGCACGAGGATTGCGTGTGACCACCCACGTGGCGGGTCTCCCTGGAGGTCCTGGCAAGTGTGAGCCCCGCCCTTTCTCTTGCTTGCACCCCCGGGGTCTTGTCTTAGGCCCGGTGGGTTGCCCAGTGTGTTCCCTCCATGGAGAGACCCCCCTGAAAGGAACTCCAAACAGAACAATTATTTTCCTGCTGGAGTTGGAGGAGGGCGAGGAGGCCACCACCTGACCCACGGCTGAGAGCCCCAGGCCTTCATGCTGAGCCAGCTTGCACCTTCATCTGCGCCACACTGGGCACCCTGAGGTCACAGCGCCTCTGGTCAGGGCAGCTTGGCTCCAGCGCTGATCTCGATTGTGTTTGCCACACAGTCTGGGCTCATCCACTCCTCCCACTCCTCCCTGCCAGCCTTTCTTACCTGTCTTTCAGGTGGGTGGACACCAAACTGACTTTCACATCCAAGCGCAAGGCTCATGTTCTCACGGGACCCATCCTCCTCCCCCTCGCATGACGGCTGCTGCCTTCTCACTGGCCCTCGGTCCCCTGCCCCGATAAAGCCTCTTCTAAGGCTTATGGCATGGATAGGTCACCTGTGTTTTTCCTACCACCAAACCTAATGCTTCTCTCCAGCAAAGATCTGGCTCCTCTCTGCTGGAGAGGGCAGCATCTAGAACAGTAAATGTCTATCTGGGAGATTCTGAACAACGCCAGGTGACATTAAACCTCTCTAAGCATCACATCCTGAAAGGCCACCAGCTATGCCATGAAGTCACAATGGTTTAGTTTCGGTTTTCAAATTAGGAATCTACATTTTCCACAGCTGGTAGCTGAGGACAGAGGCAGATTGGACAAAGATGATCATGATGATAAATGGGAGCGTCAGTATTTTCGCAACACCTGAGGTCTAGAACTTTAGATAGCCATTGGTCCCAAGATATTGGTCGCAAACTTTTCTAGCATCATCTGCCCTTGAAAACAAAAGCAATAGTGTTGCTATATTACTCTTTCTATCTTTTCGTCAGGCTGAAATCATTCATAGAAACTTCTGGATCTGCAGTAATTTCAGGAAGTGCTGTATCTGCACCTCCAGGGATTTGACAGACACACTCCCAACAGTCTGCTGTCACGGAGGCTTTCCCCGCGCCCGCAGCGCGTGGACACTGCCGATGCTCTTCTCACGCGATCCCCGCGTCGCCTCCCTGGCTCTGCTCACTTTTCAGAGAAGAAAACAAAGGCGCAGAAACTTGAGGCCACAGAGGTAGCAAACGACAGCTTTGGGGCCCAGACCTGGGATTGTCTGTCCGACACCAAAACCAGGCTCTTGATTTCTGGGCCATAGAATCTTTTCTAGCTTTTTCCTTGTCCTCACTAACATTTTGTTCTTCCATTGTCTGTCTCCCGGAACTAAACAGACATTAACCACTTGGACATCGTTATTCTCCTCCTCATCACGCTGTGACGGGCAGTGTGCCGTTGGGGGGCCCAGGGCTGGAGGAACCCAGAGGGGACCCCACAAGCAGAAGTCCCCTTCAGAGCCAGCTGTGGACCCATCTCAGCGTTGCCTGTGAACAGCCCATAGTAGCTGTGAGTAGATGCTGAGTTTGTGGGCTACTTTGGAGGAGAAATACTAAAAGTTGAAAAGACCTCGATTTTTCTGAGCCACCTGCACGTTGCAGACCCCCACTTTTAATCCTGGAACCCCAGACTAGCTTGTAATTCCACATGGATTGCAGCCACTGGCTTCAAACAGCCCGACGCCAGGGAAGCATGTGACCAGGGCAGGTGACAGAGACGAGTGCTTCCTGCATCCTCGGCCTGTCTCCTTGGGTCAGTAGCATTTATGCGATGGGAAACTGGACACATTCACTTCTCCACAAGTGATCCCTACCCCTGGGGAACAATTCCAGTGGCACGAAAACATATTTTATTTACCTACCAAACATTTCTAAACATGTTAACCCTTACCAGATGTCACCTAAGCCTCTTACCAACCGGATGAGATAGATACTATCACCCCCATTTCACAGATGAGAAAACTGAGACACAGAGACGTTAAGTTAATGCTGCAAGATCACGCAGCAAGTGCGTGGCGGAGCCGGGATGCAAGCAGGCAGTCTGGCCGAGGTCCATGCTCCTCATCCCTGCGCCCTGCTGTCCAAGCTTGGCCTCCTCATCCCACAGCTGCCCTCAGAGGTGTTCAGCCTGAGCAGGTTGGTCCCTGGAAGGTCTCCGCCAAGGATTGGGACATTGGGATTAACTCGAGCTGCCTGCCTCCCACCAGGTGTCAAACTGTTGTTTCCAAATGTGCTGCAGCTCTGGGCGTGTGCTGGTTCACCCCCACCTGCCCTCAGCAAAATGCCTACTAGGTGCCAGGCCCTGCGCTAGGGGCTAGGTTTACAGAGATGGGTAAAGTAATTCCTGCCTTCCAAGTGTTTGTAATCCATGCAGGAAAAAACACCTGTAGGCAAACCGGGGTGAAAGATGCCCCCAACCTGAAGGAGGTCAGCCATAAGCCGTTGGAAGGCAAAGTCTGGGTCCGAAATTGTTTCAGATCCTCAGAAAAGAGCCCATTGATTGGCACTGGCAAGTGTTTGATGCTGCAGGAAGAAAGGGAGGGAGCTAGGGAGGGTGGGAGAGAGGAGAGAAGCAGGAGGGGAGGTCAGGGGAGGGAATAGCAGAGGGAGAGGACTGTGTAGCAAAGTCTGTCTTGGGGGAGTCTGGAGAGAGAGAGAGAGAGGGAAAGTGAATGAGGAAAAGGGTTACACGCTGAGAATGAGAGAGAGAGCGAGCACCCCTAACTTATGCCGTGGCCTGAGAGTACACTCACCAAAGTGGTCACGTACAGGAATACACAGTGCAGAAATCTCAACTTCGCGGGATGTTGCAGGGTGGAGGGAACATCTGTGGTGCGGAAGTGCTCAAAGACGACCCAGAGGAAGACCCCCAGGAGAAAGGTGGGCAGCGCCAGTAGTGGCACCAGCCACAGGAAGGCCATGTCCCCGGGCCCCGAGGAGCAGCTGCCTGTGGAAGCAGCCCAGGAGCTTGCGCAGAGACCTCGCCGGTTATGCCAGCACCGCCTCCAGCCCACTCTCCGGGGCTAAGCTGACCCAGTAGCCTGACCGGGCTCCATACTCGCAAGCGCCAGTGGGCCAATGGCAGCCGGAGGAACCTGTTTCCCTGAGGAATGCAGGGACCAGGGAAACCAGTCCTGCCCATCCAGGCAGTCCTGGGAGGTGGGCTTCCCAAAGATTGAAGAGCGGAAAGAACCTGGCTCCAATGGCATCTCGGCTCCTGGGGATCCAGGTCTCCCAGGGTTGCACCGGCCTCCGGGGCCTGACCCTTCAACTGGCAGATAGGAGACATGGCCAGCCCTGCGCGCCAGGGTCTGCTAGGGTGGGCAAGGCTCAGCTCGTTCCCAGCTCCTTAGTGAGCTGCCCCAACCCCAGTTCCATGCCCCCATCCAGGCCACGGAGGACAGGCAGAGTAGCCGAGTGGTTAAGAGGATGTTCTGAGACCCTGGCCCATCTGGGTCAAATCCTGCCTTTTCCGAGTACTGGCTCTGTGACCTCAGGTAAGTTCTCTGAGGAAACCTCAGTTTCCTCATCTGTAAGGTGGAGACCATCAGAGTACCTAAAGGAGGAGTAAATACTTACCAATGCTTATTTACTGGTAAGTAAATACTTGTAAAGAACTGGCATGTGGTAAGCACAGCACAAGTGTTTGCTAGAAAATTCTCAGGCTTGAAGCCTATTTTCCAACATCATTCGGATCATTTCTTTCTCTCTTGGAAGAAAGCGATACAGACAAAAATTATCCCCAAACCAGCCCTTGGCACCATTTTTGGCGAAGGAATATGAGCCTGGATGAAGCCCAGTTCTGCCTGCGAAGGTATCCCTCCCTCCTGGTCCCGGCACCCGGAGGATCATTACCGGCAGAAAACGTGCAAATCTTCTCCAGGGGGCTTTTGAGCTGTCTGGCCAAGCCCTGGTCTGGCCAGAGGCCCAGAGTGTGCAGGGGCGGTGAGAAGCAGGCCAGGTTCCAGCAGACGGAGTTTATGTGGGCTACATATTCAGAGTCGAGGTAAGGTTTGCTAGGAAGAAAGTACAGGATATTCCTCTTGTTTGTTTACTTGCTTGTCGATTCAATTGTCATTAAAAAGTACATAACATAAAATTGACCATCTTAACTGCTTTTCAGTGTACAGCACAGTAGGGTTAACTATACGCACCTTCTTGTGCAACAGATCTCTAAAATGTGTCATCTTGCAAAGTGAAACTCTATACCTACTGAACAACGGCTCCCCTTTCCCCCAGCTCCCAGCCCCTGGCAACCACCATTCTACTCTCTAAGAGTTTGACTACTTTAGATACTTCATATAAATGGAATTATGCAGGATTTGTCTTTTTGTGACTGACTTATTTCACTTAGCAAATTGTCCTCCAGCTTCATCCATGCTTTAGCATATGACAAGATTCCCTTCTTTTCAAAGGCTGAATAGTATTCCACTGTATTTATATACCACATACTCTTTATCCATTCATCCATCGATGGACATTTAGGTTGCTTCCAGCTCTTGGCTATTGCGAATAATGCTGCAATAAATACGGATGTCTAAATATCCTCTCATTGTTAAAGTACAGTTTTATGTAGCTATAATAAATTTATGTGCATATACACGTATGCAAAAGTGCATAAATCGTAAGTGTACAGCTTGAGCAATTTTCACAAAATAAATATACACGAGTAACCAACACCCAAATCAGAATATAGAACATCTCTAGCACCCAGATGTTCCCTTCTCCCCACCAAAGAATTGCCCACCGAAGGTAGCAGTTCTCCCCCTTCTAACAGCAAGACTCCTATGGCTGGTTTCTGACTTTTATTTAAATAGAATCATGCAGGGAGTATTCTTTTGTGTCTGACTTCTTTCACCCAATATCGTGTTTTCGAGATTCTTCCATGTTGTGTGTATCAGTCCGTTCATTCTCATTGGTATATACCATCCCATTGCATGGATATACCACAATTTTTTCCCTTTCTGTTGTTGACAGACATTTGAGTTTTAGCCAGTTATCAATTTATTGCCTCTCAGTTCCAAATTCACAATTTGTGCCTGCTCTGTGAAAATGGAGCTGGAACCTTTAAATATTTCGCCTTTGCCAGTTGGCACCTACACTTTGTCAGTAAAGGGCACTGGAGTACATTGCAGAAGAGAAGGGCTCTGCTTCTTGGTTCTGGGTGAAGCTTCATCAGCACCCAGCTTCTGCAGTGTATGAGGAAAAGTTTAATATAAGGAATTATGAACTATACTAGGGTATTGGAGTAACAAGGACTTGGCTAGCAAGAAGCAAAGGGAGCTCAAAAGAATATAGGAGTTACGCACATAAGAAAAAATCACTACCCCAAGGACTGAGATAGAACGCCCGGAAAAGACTCCACTCCCCACCCCGCAGGGCTGAGATGCAGATCTCGTTGGAAAGGCACAGTGTGACTCACTGAATTGGCAAAGACGCTGCTCTGCTGTTGCACCAGTGGGACTTGCTGGCATCTACCCCCTCACACCCAAAAAATGTGCTGAAAATTTGCCTTCTTGTGTGCGAGGGAAAGCCATTTGTTCACAGGGAGGTGTTCTGCTGTAGGCACTCAGAAATGCCACGACCCAAGGGAACTGGAAGGGAAAGTTATTGACCTCCCTGCACTGCAGGAGCTTGGGACCAGAGGAGGCACACACACTGCAGGGCCTGGGCCGGGGGAAGCAGCTGGAGCCATTACTGCCCCAGAGCTTCGCTGAAAACGGTTAGTGGAGCTGACAGTGGGGTTTGATACCCATGGAGGCACACAGCTCGACAGAGGGGTCGGGGAGGGAGAGAGCCAGAAAGAGCCCTGCCGAAACACTGTCATCTCAGGGGGACCGTGCACAGCCCGAGGCTGGACCACCTGAGAGGTAACATCCGAAGCTGCAGACTCAGGAGAAACAGGTTGTACGTCCATCCAAGCCCCCAACAAACACACACAATACGCCCAGGGAGGAGTGGGGGAAGGAATTAGTGTCCGGGATGGTTACAACGTAATATCTAAAATCTCCCATTTTCAGCAGAAATCATCATGAGACATGCAAAGAAACGGGAAAGAATAATCCGTACAGAGAAAAAAACATGAGCAACAGAAGCTGCCTTCAAGAAGGCGCGTTTGTCAGCCTTCCCGAAGACTTCAAAGAAATTATTATAAATATGCTCAAAGGACTAAGGAAAATCATGCTGAAAGAAGTAAAAGAAGGTGTAGTTGTAAAGCTTCGTCAAATAGAAAATATCAATAAAAGACCAAACCGAAATTATGGAATTGGAAAGTACAATGACCAAAATGAAATATTCACTACAGGGGCCCCGTAGGAGATTTGAGCCAGAAGAGAGAACCGGCAAACGAATTCGAGGTATATTGATAGAAAAACGAAGAGAAAATTATTGAAGAAAAACGAGCAGAGTCTCCGAGAAAAGTGGGATACCGTTAGGTGCAGCGACACTCACACGATGGGAGTACCGGAAGGAGAGAAGTGAAAAAAAGGAACAAAAAAGTATTCAAAGAAATAATGACCGAAAGCTTCCTAAATTTGACGAAAAATATTATTCTACACATCCAAGAAGCTCAATGAACTTTCGGTATGACAAATGCAAAGAGATGGCTTCCCTGGTGAATTCTGCCAAACATTTAAAGAAGAATTATGCAAGAACAGGGGCTCTGAAAAGAAAATTTTAAAAAGAAAGAAGAATTAATTCCAATTCTGCACAAACTCCTCTTAAAAAAAAAGAAGAAGAGGGACTACCTCTCAACTCATTCTGTGAGTTCACTATTACCCTAATACCAGACAAGGACATCAAAAGAAAACTATAGACCAAGACCCCTTATGAATAGAGACAAAAATCCTCAACAAAATACCAGCAAACCAAATCCAACAACATAGGAAAAGGATTGTAAACTGTCACCAAGTGAGATTCATTCCAGGCATGTAAAGTTGTTTCCACACGCAAAATTCAATTACTATACCATACCATATTGATAGACTACAGGACAAAAACTACATGATCATCTCAATAGGTGCCCAAAAACACTTAAAAATGCAAAATCTTTCGTGATGAAAACATTCAATAAACTCAAATAGAAAGGAACTTCCTGATAAAGAGCATTTATTTTTAAAAAAACCAAACAAACCCATGTCTAACATCATGCTTGCTGGTGTATATTAGTTTCCTATTACTGTTGTACCAAGTGACCACAAACTTAGTGGCAGGGAGATGTGCCGACGAGGGAGGGAGGCTGGGTCCAACACAAGGACACTTCACGTGTTAAACACGCAAGACGCTCATGGGCTTCATGGAGGAACTTGCTCTGGAAACAGGCAACTCTCTTAGTCCACTTTGATAGAGACATGGGCAGAAAGCAATATTTCTCTACTTTAAGAAAAACTAGGTGGGGTGCAGTGGCTCACGCCTGCAATCCTAGCACTCGGGGAGGCCGAGGCGGGAGGATTGCTTGAGCTCAGGAGTTCGAGACCAGCCTGAGCAAGAGTGAGACCCCGTCTCTACTAAAAATAGAAAAAATTAGCCGGGCATGGTGGCACATGCCTGTAATCCCAGCTACTCGGGAGGCTGAGGCAGGAGGATGGCTTGAGGCCAGAAGTTCGAGGTTGCTGTGAGCTGGGCTGACGCCACGGCACTCTAGCCCGGGCAATAGAGCAAGACTCTGTCTCAAAAAAAAAAAAAAAAAAAAACTAGAGTGCAGATATGATGAAAAGGAGCAACTGCCCATGACTTTAGCATCAGGGGCGATGAGGGGGATGTGAACCAGGGCTCCTAAGACAGCACGTTCTACTTAAAGGACGTGCACGGCACTGTGTCATTTTTGACAACAAACATATATCATCTGAATATCTAGTGGTAGAGAAGAAATGGTTACGTAAATGCCCTCGTTTGTTCAATCAACAACTATCTGAGTGCCTAC